TATATATATACACATGTATGAAAATTCTCATGTAAATTATTTTTACATGTGATTTTTGAATTGAAATTTTCAATTCTTAAAATCATATAGGATGCTAGATTTGCATCTCATATATGAAAGATCCCAAATACCCCCCTAACTAATTTTGAAAATATTTAATATCCTTATAAAGTAACTCGAAATTTTCAAATTCGATTTTCTTGCGAATGCTTGAGTAGTGCGTCTTATTACTTTACCGTGCGATACTCCACATAGTCATCTATCAATCCTATAAATTTCGTCCAAATCGATTGGTACAACGTCGTAGTCTCCCCTTGTAAGTCATGTGGAAAGGCAAGCGTGAGCAGATGAGAGGCAGAAGGATTTCGTGTTGAAAAACGCCGTGTGCGAGTTAGATAATAATAATTTATATTTTTAATCGCAGAGCGCATCTACTACAAATCAGCAAAACATAACCGGCAAGCAGATTTATCAAACGACTCCACACTCCGATAGTTCGATAAGTCAACAAATAACGTTTCTTGAAGGACATCCGCATCGTGCTTTTGTTCCAAATATCTTCCATCATGGAGTGATTATCCCCGACCAATTATTGCAAAATTCACAAACAATATTTAACCAGCCAAAAGTTGTGCAAACCACAAATCCGCAACAATCTTCGTGTAATTTGCATACAGTCATTGATCAAAATTGTCCTGAAGTTTCTACTCTTAATAACAAATGTGAGAAGCAGCCAACTGGCGATCGAAATGTACCTAATCATAAACACATCATGCAAATACAACAACAGAAGCAAGCAGCTATTATAAAAGATCCAGATGCGTCGTGCGATAATGAGAGATCTACAAATCATAATCAAAATATCTGTTGTATTTCTCCACATAATCTATTTGAGCAAATATATCAGCAATCACATCAAATGTCCAATAAAATGGAACTAATGCCTAACCAGCAACAGCAAATACATAATAATAATAATTTAGAAAAATACTACTACTATAATCAACAATTAATCGACTCACCTACACAAGGAATGACTTCACCACAAGATATGACTATTACCCAAATAAAATTAATGCAACACAATCCTTCATTCAATCAGTCTGTATGGCCGCAGAAAAATCGATGGATAGAAACAACAACTCAGAGCCAACAACATTTGCATCATTCTTTATCGCAACATCATCATATGCCGACCATTAATTTTAATCAGCGTAATTTTAAATTTCAAAATCAGTCAAATTCATCAAAGAATTATATGAAACATAAATCTACCAAACTGGTTGCAAAAGATAATCAACGAGACGATAGAAATCAGGTACTATATTTCACGCCTGATATGATACGCGATCAGGAATTGTTAGTTTCCACCTTACGACAACAAGATATATCTGATGAAGTAATGCGCCGTCAATTTGACGCGTTGTTAAACGAACAACGGCGACATTTAGCCTATGTCGCTCAATTTCAGCAGGAAGCTGATACTCTGGATACTAAACAACCTCGATATATGAGAAAAAGAACAGGAGAGTATGAAAAGCCGGAATGGATGGTGCACATTACACCACCTCGAATTTCGTGTAACAAAGTTGAAAAAATCACAGCGCAGCAAAATAACTCAAGAATACAAGGTTCAATGAACGACCAGTTGTTAGAAAAACGTAACACAACAATGGCTGTTCACCAACAGAATTATTATCAGCATAAGAAAGAAGAGGTGGCCAAACAAATTTCATCTTATCAAAAATATTTACAGAATAATCCCGATCAACATATAGTTAATTGGTCTTGTAGAAATATACCATCTAACCACGTAATTTTCCAGCCGTATGGTATTCCACAAAAAATACGAAATACTTTATATTATCAATCAAATCCAACTTTTACTGGCTATATTTACCATCCATACAATATATATTCTGATCATTCATATCATTCGGAACAACAAAACATCTGGCCAAGTAATTCAAACATATCAAATCCAATTACTTCCGCATACTTGTGCAAGAGAACAAAAACTTCTACTGAACCTTCCAGTCTGCTAAAAATGAAAGTTTACAAGGAGATAATTTGTCCTCAGAAGCGCAATAACGGCCTACAAGATCCAGACACTATTCACAATGCACTCGAAGCGTTACAAAATCCGGCAAGTAAAAAAGATTGCAAATATCTAGTCGTGTCAACTCAAAAGAATTAGCATTTAGAAATATATTAGTAATATAAAGCAATTTTATTACTTAAACTTGATATTTTATTTGTTTCTAAAACTAAATAAAAGAAAAAGTTCAAAGAAGGTTGACACATGATAGTATATTTTTAAACAATTATATTATATATTATGTTCTGCAAGCACACACTTTTTCTTTTCCAATATTACTCATACACTCTTTTTAACCGCGAGACTATTAGGCCAAAAATAAACAGTCTGTTTATGATATTTTGAGGTTAATGATGCTTATCCATACAGCACAGAAAGATTAGAAAAAACTTGCAAATATATTTTATTGCAATATTGTAATATTGCAAAGTAATTGCGCAATGTAGATGCAATATGAATGCAATGTCAAAGCAACATAAAAATGCCGGTCTATTATCAAGATTGCGCTACAATATGGCTATGATATTTCAGCGCAATATACCTGCAACAATAAATAAAAATATTTCTCTTATTATTATTAAATATAATTTACAATACATTTTGTAAAACCAATTTTACTTAACGTATATTTTATTGAATTATTATAATTATTATATTTTTTACATATACATATATTAGAAATATATACAGGGTGTCTCAGAATTGGTGTAACATCTCTTGTAGACAGGTAGAAGGTAAAACTGAATCAATAAGTCCTATACTCTTTTTTTTGCTAAATTTGTAATAGTTACCGAGATCTTAAGGACGTTCTCCGAATTATTGATTTTCTTAGGATTTTCATTAAATTTGCGGTATACATAGTTTATGATCTTTTTATACGTAGTCTGGTTGGATAATAGGGGTAGCAATGTTAAATTCCAAAATATGAAAGATTTATATTTCAATTTTTAACATGGATTTCCTATGCTGAGCCTTTGTGAAGTGGGGTTTTTTAAAATTACGACAATTTTCTTAGGATTTTTTTAAAAAATAAGTATGAGGTAGTGGAGAGTGTCCTAATTAAAATACGATTTTGAATAATATGCAACCCTTTTTTTAAACCGTAGCTTTTTTTGCTGGATTTATGTGCGCTGTGTACTGCAGCTATTTTTGAACTTCTGCGCAGAGTAAGCGGGTCTTAGCAATGCTGAATAGCTCAACTTAACTTTGTTACAGCAGTACAAACTTACTCATGAGAAGAGATATTTTAGGTTGCTAACCACTGTATTTAGGTTGCTAACCACTGTAGTCGGAGAACGTCCTTAATTAACAAAGATCCGGCAATAAGCGTGCATCGGGCTGTCTTACGCGCATAGGACAGCCCAGCGCGCTTTGCACGATTACATTGTAATACGTATATGTTATAGTATATGCTGTTATATTAGCTTCTTCCATATGTTGCTACGGGTAACACCGTAAGCCCGCGAAGCGCGCCGGGCTGTCTTACGCTCGATGCATGCTTATTCGCTGATCTTTGTTAATTAAGATCTGGGTAACTATTACAAATCTAGCAAAATAGTACAGGACTTATCGACTCAGTTTTACTCCTACTTGTCTACGAGAGATGTTACACCAATTTTGGGACACCCTGTATATTATACATAACATACACATATTCAATTTATACTCTATACTCAATACTATTTTTTTGAAAGTTTTTAATACCTTACAAATAAGCAGTCTGTAAAAGGAAACACATAAAATTAAAATACAAGTGTCAAATAATATGCAAAACTATTTTTTGCAATGTAAAAGTAGTTCACAGACTTATCAAATGATATGTCACAAATCAATAGTATAGTTTAATATAAATTGTAATTGTATAGTGTTATATAAAGCAGTTTGTAAAAAACTGTCGTAAGCAAGGCAGTCTGCAACAAAAAATAAACTAGGGAATTAAAATACAAGAGTCAAAAATTACAACATAATCTAAAAGTTAAACATAATTAAATAACGGCACGGAAAGCCGGACATTCCAGGTTCGACTCCTGGCCGAAAAGTTTTTTTTCACAATATTTTAAAATTAATTAGTTAGGTATACGGGGTCTCTCTCATATATGTGATGCAAGTATAGCATCTTATATGAATTTAAGAATTGTAATCTCAATTCAAAAAACTCATGTGTAAAATTTACGTGAACATACACACACACACACATATATACATCTACACACGCATATTTCCGCACATCTAGCAAACGGCTCTCATGTAATCGTCTATATATTTCTAGTTTAGAAACTTCGGAGCCTAAAAGATTCTTTAATAATTGTATAATTAAAGAATAATTTTACTTAACACTCGAAGATGTTTTTCGGGTTTGAACCGCGTTAGTGTCATTTTTATGTTGACGTTGCATGAACATTTCAGCTTACTTCACCAGGGTTTCAAGAGGAGCCTGATATCAGGTATACAAATGACCTGATAGTATCAAGTTGCTCTTGAAACCCTGATGAAGTAACCTGAAATGTTCATGAAACGTCAACATAAAAATGACACTAGCGCGGTTCAAACCCGAAAAACATCTTTGAATGTTAACACACTGCAAAAGCATCAAATATCAGAATAATTTTACTTAGTTACTTTATCTTTGTCTTTTCTTCCAATTATGCCTTGCCTTATTGTAATGTCTACATTTGTCTTATGTAATGTCTATACAATATATATCTTAACGTAATCATAAAAAAATAAACTAAAAACGGAGTCCAGTAAAAATAACTCATCAGCACACTCAGTACAATCAACGTAATCAGGCAAAATCCTTTTTTGCGTATGTGCGATAGTGACGGCAAATGTATGATGACTTCAATGTAAACGTTGCGATAACAAAATTACTGAAATAAATATAACATTCATGTATAATATTAGGACCTTGAATAAGTTCTCGCTGTTTCCCAACAGATGGCGTTATCAGAACTGCGTGCGTGTAGCTTAAGATGGTATATATATATATATATATACAGAAAATTTAGATGATATATGTATATACAGGGTCATCGAAAAGTATCGGACCCCCTTAATATCTTCAGTTAAAATGCATTTTGAAGGAAATGTTTAATAGCAAAGTTGTATGGTTTCAAGCGAGGAGTAAGATGATGACCTTGACTTTGATCTTGACCATGTCCTTTAAGGTCATTTCAAGGTCAACCTTATTTTTTTAAATGGAACTCCCTACATTTTATTGCATATTTTTATAGCTTATCTCGAGAGCTTTCCAAAACACTATAATAAAACATGTTTTCATTAAGTACTTTTTGAGTTATAAAGGTTTAAAGTTAACAATTTTTTGACACAAAATGTAAAATATCTTGTAAAATATTATTTAGTTTTTAGTAATTATAACCTTAATACTTTTGTGCGCGGAAAAATGAGACCAATTAATTGGTTTAAAGAAAATACATTAATCAAAAAGTGTCGGATCTCTCTAATATTTTCAGTAAGAATGCATTTTGGAAAAATGTCCAATAGCAAAGTTGTACGGCTTCAAGCAGTTATGCTAATAGGCTACGGCGGAAAACTGCCCGAAGGTGATAGCGAGAAGTTGCTCGAATGCGTGATGTCTGAAGGCGTTAGCGGGAATCTGCCCGAAAGCGTTGGCGGGGCCGATCTTTTATTCTCTCACTCTTGCAGGCACCAACGAGCTCTTGAGCAAACAAGACAGATCACTGATTTTAATCTTTGATGCAGTGCTGTCTTCTTTTTAGCAGCAGTTACCTCGTGGACAAAAACAAACAGCCCCAAAAATTTTTTCTGTAACAAAAGAAGCCATTGCGCTTCACTTGATTGTCTCAAACATCTTCGTTTTGTTTCCAATAGCCCAGAAATTTGTCGTAAATATTATTAATTGATCTATTAGATTTTCAGTTGCTCAACGAGCTTTTTGCTAGTGCTGGTTGAAATAAACAACTCAATAGTTGGACCAACACTTAATAATTAGTATTTTTCTCTACTTAATTATTTAGATCAATTTCCTATCACCTATCTGATTAATTCTTCTTTGCTCTAATTAAGAATGGCGGAGCTTTCTGAAAAAGATCGAATAACTCTGTTAATGATGCGAGGATGGTGAGATCAACAAAGAGGGTATAAAACAGTAACGCGATTATTTAATGAAAATTTTCGGAATGAAAATAATAGGATCTCTAAAAGTACTGTAATCCGTACTATTAAACGTTTTGAGGACATTGGTAGCGTTAAAAGCCGCTCAAGATCTGGTAGACGTAAAACAGCAACAAATAATGATAAGGCATTAGATGTTTTACAGTCTTTTGTTGAAAATCCCTATATTTTCATCAATCGCGTTGCTCAAGAAACGTTTGAAAGTATTAGAATTATTCAAAAGCAGAGACATTGGGTGCCGTACAAGTTGAAGCCGAGAGACGTCGAACGGACGCTTTTCACGTGTGAACAGCTGCTTCAACGGCAGAAAAAAAAGGTTTCTTGCATTGTATCGTGACTGGCAATGAAAAGTGGATACACTACGGTAACCCTAAGCGTAGAAGATCGTGGAGTAAGCAAGGCCATGTATCAACATCGTCGGCAAAGCCGAATATCCATGGTTCAAAGCTTTAGTTGTGCATTTGGTGGGATCAGCTGAGTGTAGTTTATCATGAGCTGCTCAAACCGAGCGAAATCATCACGGGAGATCGCTATCGACTGCAATTGATGCGTTTGAGCCGAGCATTGAAGGAAAAACGGCCGCTATATAAGTAGAAACGCGACAAAGTAATTTTGCAACATGACAACGCTCGGCCACATATTGCACAATCGGTGAAAACCTACTTGAAAACGCTTAAATGGGAAGTCCTACTCCATCCTCCGTATTCACCAGACATTGCTTCTTCCGATTATTACTTGTTCCAATTGATGGCTCATGGCCTGGCTGAGCAGCACTTCCATTTTTATGAAGATGCCAAAAAATAGATCGATTCTTGGTTAGCTTCAAAAGACGTGTCGTTTTTCCGACGTGGAATTCAACTGCTGCCAGAAAGATGGGAAAAAGTAATGGCTAG